GGCAGAGGGGAAGTTAGTTGTTAGTGGTAGAGTTAGCAGGCGGCCATAGCCGCCAGGTTAGTAGTAGCAGTGTGTGTGTGTGTGTGTGTGTGTGTACAGTGAGTGTGCGCATGTGGGGTATTCGGGGTGATCCAGAGTGGAGTGCGTGTGTGCGACAGTGTTGGAGACAGTGACGACAGTGGATGTACAGGGCGCCTGTACGCCATAGCTTGTGGGAAGCAGTTTGCATCTGAACTGTGTTCGCGACTTCCATATCTCTGAGTTTTGAGTGGGCGCCTAGCGCCAGCCTGTTTGCCATCTATTGTATGCATGTAAGTTGATGAATAAAGAGAGTCTGATTGCATTGGTATCGGAGCTGGTACCCGTTACTTCGCGCGCCATCGTTGTTAGGCGCCATAGCTGAACTGCGCCAAGAAGAAGGAAGGTTCACCATAGCCGCGCCGCCGAAGAAGAAGACTGTCCGCCGTAGCTGTGCTGCGGAAGAAGGCGCCACGTACCTGCAAGGAGGGACAACGAAGGTGAAGGCGGACATAGCCGGGGGTGACGAAGAAGACAAAGGTGAGGGAGAAGAAAGGTGGCGAAGGTGAGAGAGAAGGCGGCGTTAGCCATAGCCGAGTTGGCCGACGACCTTCGCGTTGACCAAGGAGTTGACTGAGCGTTGACCGGAGGTTTGACCAGTGCTGACCAGCGTTGAGCAGGCGTTGACCGGAGCTGCTGACCACGAGATTGACCAAGCTGGAGTTGGTATATTCTCGCCAAGCCTTCAGCCTATTCCCTCGCCCTATGGATGTGCACTTACCCCATGGTACTTGCTGAGTCTGTCTGTCTCTTCTTTCTGCATCGAGTCTCTTCTGTCTAGGTGATAGGAACTCCGTGGATGAAGGATAGAGCTGCGTTGACCAAACCCACACGGGCTGATTAGGGCTTAATTCCGTGTCTGACGACCGACACGTCCCGGAGGACAAACCCTCCCAAGGACCGGTACTGACCGGCGGGCTGAATGGTGTGGCACGGGCGGCCCAAAATCGGAGCTGTGGGCTGCACAACCAGCTGTCTAAGTGTTGAGAGGACTTGCTGATCGCGTCGTCCTGTCTGCGACGTTAAACAATTCTTGAGGAGTTATGGCGGATCTCCTTAAATGCCTCCTGATCAGTGAAGAAGTCCTGTAGTGACAGCTAAGAAGTAGGTCTAGGCTAGAGACCATAGCTGACAGAGTCTGAACCAGAGTGAAAGCCAGGTGGGATTGACCGCAGGTGCTGGGCATCTGGGTCTGGTTTGTAAAGGACAGTGGTGGCGGAAGCTTCCGTCGGCCGTGGTAGCCCGGCTGGATCGGAGGGGTGAGATTTTGTGGTCCGTAGAGAGTCAGTCAGTCAGTTGAGTGGGTATGTCTAAGTGGTGAGGAGTGGGACAGTTTTGTCGTGCACCTGGACACCATGGACGACTACCCGATGTACGGCTTGCTCATGGGGTTCTCCATCTGGGGGACCCTCTGGCGTCTTCTCTTTCCACTGGGATTCTGACACACAATTGCGTGTAGAGTAGAGACGAGGAGTGGTGCCCGCACCACTCCTTACACCCAGGCGCAGGAGGAGGAGGCAACGAAAATTATCGCCGAGCAGAAGGCCAGGAAGGAGAAGAAGGAGTTGGTCAAGCAGGCTAAGAAGATTGCCCTGCAGCAGGAGCAAGCCACCAAAATGAAAAAGTTACAGGAAGAGATTGAGAGAGTGAAGAAGGAGGAGGACGAAAAGATGGAGGTTGTGGACACAGAAGAGGTGGAGGAAGAGAAGGAGAAGCAGGCAGAAGCAGAAGAGGTTCCCCTGATAAGAAGGTCAGTGAGAGAAAGAGGGGAATCTAGCGGCACGAAGGGGGACCCATGGATAGAGTCCAGGCATATTTTCGCCTAGAGCAGGATGGAAAGGTAGAGAAGGTCCTCCATTCCTTGACTCTCCTCGTAGAAGACAACCTCCCATTTGACATAGTCCTAGGAATGGACTGGGGAGAGGCAGCAGGGGCCACACTCCATTTGAGAGAGCATGAGTGTAGGCTCCCTAGTCCGCCAGGCGAGGTTAAGACGACCCGCCTGTTTCATGTGTCAGGAGTAGATAACTCACTGGCGCATTGTTGTCTCAATGCTCCCGCGTTCGCGCGATTGGTGAGAAAGGAGCAGTTAGAGGATCAGGTCTTCGTAGCTTATATCAGACCTGTCACTGAGCCTAAAGAGGACAGCCCCATGGATCCAACCATCATCAAGCTGTTGGAAGAGTTCGAGGATTTAACCGAGCCGCCAACAGGAGTAGTGTCGCGACCGATCCAGCATCGGATAGAGATAGAGCCTGGCAGTAGGACTCCTAAGGGAGCAATTTACAGAATGTCCCCAAGGGAGTTCGAGGAGCTGCGCAAGCAATTAGACGAGCTTCTCGAGAAAGGTTGGATTAGGCCCAGTTCGTCTCCTTTCGGAGCACCGGTTCTTTTTGTCCCCAAGAAAGAGGGAGAGTTGCGGATGTGTATAGACTATAGGGGTCTTAATGCGATTACAGTGAAGAATGCAGAACCACTGCCCCGTATAGATGATCTATTAGATCGAGTGCAGGGCTGCAAGTACTTTTCAAAGATAGATTTGAAGTCCAGATATCATCAGATAGAGGTCCATCCTGATGATCAGTACAAGACCGTATTCCGGACTAGATACTGGCACTATGAGTTTATAGTGATGCCCTTTGGACTAACCAACGCGCCAGCTACCTTCCAGCGTTGTATGAACGACTTGTTTAGACTGTGGTTAGATAGATTCGTAGTCGTATATTTGGATGATATCTTAGTGTTTAGTAAGACCCTCCAGGAGCATGAAGGTCATCTGAGGCAGGTCTTGGAGAAGCTGAGAGAAGCTAACTTCAAGATCAACGCGAAGAAGTGCAAATGGGCCAAGACGCAAGTTCTATACTTGGGCCATGTGTTAGATGGAGATGGCATAAAGCCTGAGGATAGCAAAATATCAGCGATCTGGGACTGGCCGACGCCCCGCACACTAACAAAATTGCGGTCGTTCCTAGGCCTAGCTAATTACTACAGGAAGTTCGTGAGGAACTTTTCTACTATCGCTGTGCCCCTTCGCAGATTGTTATTTAAAGATGCAATCTGGTGTTGGGACAAAGACTGTACTTCGGCCCTGAAGAAGCTAAAGCGGGCCTTAATAGAGTACCCAGTCCTCAAGGTAGCCAATCCATCATTGCCCTTTGTTGTCACAACTGACGCAAGTCAGTATGGAATAGGTGATGTGTTGCAGCAAGATGATGGCAATGGGTATAGACCCGTAGAGTTCATGTCTGCTAGAATGCCTTCAGAGAAGGTTGYGACATCTACCTATGAGAGGGAACTCTACGCTCTYAGGCAAGCCTTAGAACATTGGAAGCACYACTTACTTGGGAGGCACTTCAAAGTCTATTCAGACCATGAGACGTTGAGGTGGTTAAGGACTCAGGCCAAGATGACACCTAAGCTTACTAGGTGGGCCGCAGAGATAGACCAGTATGATTTTGAGCTCAAGCCAGTGAAAGGAAAGTACAATGTAGTTGCGGATGCTCTGAGTAGACGAGCCGATTACTTTGGGGCAACAGTGCATTACTTAGATATAGGAACAGACTTGCAGCAAAGAGTCGAGGAAGCGTATGCGCAGGATCCTATCTATAGCGACCTCCTTAAGGGAGTTAAGGAAGCCCCGGAGACAGAACCTCATTACCGCACTACTGATGGGTTGCTGTTTGAGAAGACTAACGTAGTTGACCGTTTGTGCATTCCTAACAGTGAGGAGATCCGTAGTTTGATCCTAGGGGAATGCCACGACGCAGAGGGACACTTTGGTTGGCAAAAGACTTTAGCTAACCTCTCATGCGCGTATACGTGGTCGGGTATGAAAGCTGACTGCATAGAATACGTACGCAGTTGCAAAGTGTGTCAGAGGAACAAGACCACTACGCGAGCCCCTCTAGGTCTTCTCAGACAGACCCGGACATTCGGTGTCCATTGACTTTATGGATACTGGGGTAAAGAGTAGGCATGGCAAGAGCCAAGTCATGGTCGTAGTTGATAGATTTAGCAAGTATGCAGTTTTTGTTGCTTTGCCTTCAGAGGCACGAACAGACTTAGTTATAGGGAAGTTTTTCGATCATTGGGTCAGTAAGTATGGTATACCGCTCTCTATAGTTAGTGATAGAGATACCAGATTCACTAGTCAAAACTAGCAGGAGTTGATGAGAGTTTATGGCTCTAGGTTGCTGTTGTCATTTGGCCGTCATCCAGAGACCAACGGGCAGACTAAACAGATGAATAAGATCCTGCAGCAAGCTCATAGGATGTACATTAGACCTGATCAAGTCAATTGGGATGAGATGTTGCCCAAGGTAGCCAGTGCCTATAATAACAGCGTGCACTTAGCCACGTGTCGCACTCCCAATGAGCTGCACAAATCCTTTAGACCACGCAGACCGTTTGAGGGACTTAGCCGGGATCAAATTCATAGGTTACCGCCCGGTACTAGGGAGTTTGTGGTACAGCACGAGAAAGAGTTAGCTACCGTTGTTGAGAACCTCAGGAAGGCCCAACACCGAATGATAGAACAAGCTAAACAAACACCGTCGCCCGTCGCAATTTCAAGTAGGCGACTTAGTCTGGGTCAAGTCTAAAGAGTTTGCTCCTGAGGAAAACATTTCGCACAAGTTAGTGCCAGCGTACAGAGGACCGTGGCCAGTTCTAGAAGTTAAGGGCGGAGAGGATGGGCCGTCCTACACAGTAGAAATCCCAGCACACCTCCACACCTATCCTGTGTTTCATGCGTCAAAGTTGTTGCCATGTGTCACAAGTCAACAGTTTCCATCAAGAAGATCCATGATTCCTCCGGACATGGATGGAAGGTACGACATTGACGGCATTGTA